GCAGAGAGCTCTGTAACGCTCTCTCTTTGCCTTTGTCAGGACGGAGGAGCAGCTAGGACGTGCTGGAGCTACCCGCAGAGTAGCTGTAGAAGTTCGGGAATCGTAACTTTAAAACAGCAAAAAGAGACAGAGGAAAATCTTGTTGAGCTACTTCGAAATCTCTATGCGCGGTTCTTTACCCACTTAAAATGTCTAGTTAAATCCTGTATTTCCTTACGTTGGCATTTTCCCTGGTTTGCCCCAGGGCTGACTGATGTAACCGGCAGCTGCTGAAAGCTGCTGCGTTTTTATTGTGAGGAGTTTTGTCCTGCTGCCTTAGGTAGACACTCTGATCTCTCTCTTAATTTTTGCTGTGGCTTTTGCTTTATTTTGTTCCCTTGCTGTAATTCAACGGTATTCTTTTTGATGGTGTTGAATCTACGTAGCCAAGGAGAGCCACAAGTAGCCCTTAAAATTCTGGCGCTAATGTGAATTGCAAAATGTTCAGGGAATTTAAAAGTAATTGAACTGGAAGAGCCAATGGAATTACTGCATCAGTGTAGTTTATATAAACAACTAAGAATACCAGAGAGCTCAGTGGCATAGTGGTAAAGTTGTCTGCGCCCAGTGCTGGCACCTGCCCCAGCGCTAAGCACACGAGGTGTTGAGTTTTCATGTGGTAGCCCTGTCCTCCCAGCAGAAGTGAAGAGAAAAAAACATGGAAAAGAGCACTTAATAACTTCAACGAAAATTATTCTGCCAGGGTGAAAACTGATGCAGATTTAAAAGTGAGTTGTTACCTTCTACCTTAATCTGTGAACTATACAATAATCTAATTGTAGTTTGAGGTGATTGGGTTTTTTTAAGCTATGATTACTCTTGATCTTATGATCAAAAATACTTATTCATAAACATGAGCTACTTCATGAACCTGCTGCATGTATTATTTTTCCTTTGGCCATGAGAAGTATATAGCTAAGTGTAAGAAAGCACAGAAGTGACATAGCAGAACAACAGACACACCATTGACCAGCGTTTCACAATCCCTATCAAAAGATGGTGGTTCTTTTAGGTGTCGTCCCGTACGAACGTGACGGAAGATCATGCTTCTAATAGGTACTGGGTGATGTCAGCTGGGTACTACTTCTTCCTTGCAATTGCAGAGCTGGAGATACGCGTGACTGGGCCTCTGCCTCTCTCCATCAGTGGCTAATCCTAAATCACACCTACTGATCTTGTTTGACTGCTGGCAACGCAAGTTGTGTAAAAGGCAGTGCTGACAGACCTGATGTCATCAAATGATGACATACGCTTTTTATATGGTGAATACAGTTTTCTTACACTGGGCAGGATTCTTGTCCGAAGACACATTCCTTTGAACTGATTATGCTAATCCAGCTTTCCTCATAAATGAGCTGCTTCAAGGAGTTTTTATAGTTGTCAGCCAGCTAGTCTGAAAGGCATCTGTGTGTTGGGAGGTGGTGTGAGGAGACTCAGTAGTGAATAAAATACTGTCTGCCATTAGACTAGACCAGCTTTCATTTAAAAAAAAAAAAAAAAAAAAAAAAGCCCAGCAACTCTCATCTGTGGAGACTGTAT